ATTAGCTTATTTTCCGAAACTAGCACAACAATAATCAAAAGATATCAACAGTGCATCTATATTTTTGGGAAAAGTACTTACTTTTTACCAGTGGACAAAAAAAAGGTAATTCATTGAAAGTGACATTCTATAACATGTCAATAGGGATGAATTGTCGAACTCTTCTCCAGTCACAGAAAAATAGTTATTTATTATACAAGGCGAAAAAGTTGTGCTCTCATAGCTTGAGACTGTGTTGTCTACCGACGCATAGTGGATTTGAATTTCTTATGACAGAAAATTCCCTATAGTGCCATATATTTTTTTTGAGTTCTGGTCACTTCAAAAAAGCTCTGTATAGGCTCATATCAAACTAACATAATCATTGGTTGAAATAGTGTTCTTATTTTCTGTTCATTATCATACTCATAGATATTTATGTTATAGTCATAGTGTTATACTATGCTTAGATAAGTGTGTTGGACTTTTAGTCTGTTGGATGTATCACTCCGATAAATGAATAAATGAATAAATAAATAAATATCATGCAGTTTTGTCACCCTGTTGATGAATTATTGTGGAAAAACGATATGCCAATTGAAACTTTGAGTTTGAGTTTTTTTTTGCAGATAATATGAGAATTATGATTACGGAGATGCTAATAATTTCTATGTCATGTTTTTTTTATCGCTTGGAGCGCACGAGAGGGAATCCCTATAATGTTCAAAGAACATCGTGCGTTCCTAGGGAGGATAGGGACAGGAGGTAGGTATTGGAATTTTTTTTGAACCTTTGGAGATTATATTATGTTGTTGAGAATACTTCCACAGGCAATGAATTCCAAACATGTTGCTACCACTCATTTCTGACAATCATTTTCTTCTATTCCGTTTGGCTATTCAGAAGCGTGTTCCTTGGTTATTCAACTAGTATTTTTTTTTTCTATTAATGGAAATTAAGACTGGAATCGAATAATTTATATTTCTCCAATCGTACAAGGGCAAATAATTACCTTTTCAAATGAACCAATGAGTCTTCCATTCAGATGAGCATTGTTCACCCTTCGATTGGTTGAGGGATGATGATGCGCAGCCATCCCTGTTGTTCGCGTGGCACCAGATCCAACTGAAATGAATGAAACATATCGTGATGTATGCTTCTTGAAGATATCAGGTTCATATTCAAGAATTATATTAGTCTCTAATACTTCTAAAATATTGACACTGAATCTGAATAAATCATCGTCGAAACCGCAAAACCATGTGATTTGCAAAAAAAACAAGATTTTCAGAAAACACAAAATGCTTCATAATGACAGTTTAACTGATTAGATTCAATAGAAAATAGCCGAGCGTAGCAAGTTGAAAGCATTGGAGAATTTCGATGATATTCAGGATAATCATAACGAAGGAGCGAATAAAGTAAAAAAAAAGTCAGTCAAAAGAAATTATCACTCGTGAATGGTTTACCCTGTGTGGTTATTAAATTATCATTCGAAAATACAGTGAACGGAAATCAATAATCAAACAGTCTCGGGATTTTCTAATTGACTGGAATGGGATGATCCATTCAATTGTTTCATTTGTTAATTTCACGAACGAAACACAAAATTTCTTTGACCACCGATTAGTAGAGGTATCTATCATTTTGATGCAACATGTGATTCAATTTTCGAATCAGCTCAGAATAAAAACAAGAAGAAAAAAAGGAGAACAAAATCAATTACATAATATTTCGTGAATGGTTGACTCTGTATATCATCTCAAGAATTTCTGCTGACATTTTTCGTTAGCAGAAATATTTCAATTCAATTTTATAAACGATAGTCGGAATTTTTCGACCACCAAGTATCCAATCTGACCTAACTTGGCCTGAATTAATCTTCCACCTGAAGAGTATATTATTCGAAAAATTACTTGGGCCAAAAAATTGAAAGAATAAGAAACTCGCAGGGTTCGAACCCGTGCCACCCCTATGATATTCGGATACATAGTCCACTGTCCTATCCTATCGTCTTGCTCGGAAGATATTACTATGAAGAAATTCATCTTGGTATAGCGGAACACAACTCTATGTTTCGCTCATAATCTTGTTGATAACCTTTCCCCTCCGTTTGAACAGTCAATCTTAGACAGTCAACATTAGCTTTGTTTGCTTGCACCCTGCTGTACAATACTTTGGCTCTGGATTTCGAGTGGAGCGAAATCAAAACAATATCGAAGTACACGGATACTTAACGAATCGAAACGAATCATGATTATTATTGTGATTTCAAATTGACTTCATACTGATTTCATATTGATTTTATGATGATTACATGGTGCTTTCATTTGATTTCATGCTGATTTCATGCTGATCTTAGGGTGATTACATGAATTTCACAGTGATTACATGATGATTACATGGATTTTATGATGATCACAAGCAATTTCAAGTAGTGGTTACTTCCTCGATTCATGCAATAATAGCATGGTATTTGCAGTCATTGTCATAATGAACATCGAATCAGTTTGGCAGTAATTAATAACTCTGGTAACACCATGGATGAGTATGCTTGCAGAACCTACAAGGTCAATAACTCCGTATCGAAATGCGGTATACATCTTTTCATATGGAGTACTAACATTATTTTGGCTTATTTTATCAGCCTTTATTATTCACGACGACAAGACCTTCCTGTATAAACCACCACCAATAAACCACACAAACTGGAGTCAAATCCATCAAACGCCACCAAAACTCTTCAATATAATCTCAAATTCACTAACATCAGACAGGTTAAATGCAAAGCAGAACCACCGAATACCTAAACCTAAGACTAATCCGGCTCTAATTTGAGTCTACGTCAGGCGAACTGACAGAGGTACATTCTCACACAGTTGCCAGATGGGCTTCCATTGATTTTGTCGTGGAGATTTTCATTATGATTTTTGTGAAGTTGTTATTCATCAGTTACAGAATGTTTTATACTGAATGTCAATACTATTGATATTATTAGTAGTGTCACGAGTAAAAAATGGTGTATCAATGAATCACTAAATCAGTAAGTTCGAATCACGTTCGAACTCCGAATAATGATCAAGAAACTCTCATGAGAAACGTGCAAACCTATTATGAACTGGATATAGAGGTTCCAAAGTTATCTGGTCTGGGGCTCCTTTCAACTCGTTATTATGATGATCAACATAACATTGTTAATAGATCTTTTTATTCATTGTTGTTCATTTATATTTCCTCACTACCCGTAATATCCTCATGCTATATAATAAATATTTTGACAAATTATTCAAATGCAGGTTTGTTATTTTGTTATGGTGATATTTTGACTAGTGTGATCTATATTATCGAAAATTTTTACCAATTTTCATTCGAGGTGAGCCCTGTACGCTTCAGAAGTTTTAATTGAATAATTTTATTTCCTTATTGTTATTATTCAACAAGGAAAATGCCAATCATAACATATGAATGTTTCTATCGCAACGACCAAACTTCTATATCAAAGAATGATGAATAATCGTGTTGTCTATGAATGAAATGGTCTCAAATATGTTACAAGAATATGACAAGTGATGAAATTGACGACAATACGACATATTCCAGGATGAATGAAAGCAGAATTACTTTTATTAGTGGGCTGAGTAGACTCCTACAATCAGATTTCATCAAAATGAAGTCATTTGAGAAATGAAACTTCCATAATGTTGCTTTCATATCATATTATATAATATTATACATTCATCGAAGTCTAGCGGTCGATGGCTCTGGCGCTGGCTCCTGATCGGTGGACATTCGTCAAAGTTGGTGTTTTCAATATGAAAATAAAAAACAAAGATTTTGCGAATGTACTACTAGGAGTACTCTCCGTCGGGCATTTGTGAATTATGATTGATCAAAGAATTTTTCGATGATATAGAACTGTGGATAGTACATCAAAAGCATTGTCGTTCCTGCATCTACTGTATCTAATGATAATTGAGCTCACCTTTTTTGAGACCAAGAAAACATTTCATGATTCTTCGAGTTATCAATCTGTGTCCATTGTTCATTTGACTGTCGCCATCTGAAAGCAGTACCTAGGTATTATTAATCGTTCACACTGTATTGACGAAGTTCCACTTCTCGAAGCTTTTTACTTGAGGCCGTCATAGTATTGAGCAAAAATCGAATCTAGTATCCACATTCACTATCTAGGCCTGTGCTTTGTTTGAATATTGGGAGTGACAAATGTTACTTCGAACTAATAAGTATCACCTCAAACTGATAAGTATCACCTCAAACTGATAAGTATCACCTCAAACTGATAATAATTTGTCACTCTGAACTGAAAGTTGCTACTTCCGGTGCAGAATTCTCAAATTGGGGTGAGAAGTGCATTGTACAGTGATATTTAAAGAGCGAAAAAGTATAAGAGAGAAAAACTAACTCAATCCTGTTTGCGTAAAACGGACTATCGAGAATGATTGTTCACCAAATCTCGATGGTTGTCATATGATCTCAAAAATACAAAGCATTGGCTGAGCCAGTTTCACACAACAATAGAACTAGGATGACGTAGACGTCTCTTTCCAATACTTGTACGCATTTTGATTGAGTTCACTTGTCTAATGTTATGATGCATGCACTGATTTTTTATGATCTGATTATGTATCACATATTGGTAGGAAAAGTCAGTAATTCGTTTGCTTCTTCACTAAAAATATGCATATTGAATGAATTTATGATTCTATTAATGAAATCGAGAGGATAGGAAGTATCAAAAGTTTTGGTGAAAAGAATACCCCACATCCTCCATCAACCCTTAACTACTAATCATACGTCTTAGAGACTCCATCAATTTTGCAACCCAACAATGAAATGCAACTGGATAATATCTGCTGTCAGTTTGTTTCAAATAATGCTGATTTTAATATTTGCACCATCGATGGATTGAATAGATTTCATAGTATGGGAGGAATTAAATGTGTAACACCTGCTGAATCAGTTATTCCTAAGTCATCGATTACGAAAATCACGTGCTTTGGATGTGTGGAAAGTTTGATGAGGTTAATATTCCTGGATGGAGAGGGTTTATGGAAAAATTGAATACCCAGCGAACATTCGAGCGGTCGAAAGTATTGTATCTGCTGTTGAATTCACCACCTAGCAACTATGATACTATTTATACTGTTTTATGTACATTTGTAGAAGAATCCAAAAAGCTAGGCATCAATACTACGTTCGTCACCTTTGATCAACCCCTTTATGTGAAAGTGAGAGAAATAGTTGCGGCGATGGGTAGAGATTCACAATTAGGTGATGTAGTTCCTAGACTCGGAGAATTCCATCTTTTGATGTCATTTCTTGGAAGTATTGAATATATTATGGCTGGTAGCGGCTTAAGAGAATTGTTGAGTGTAATATATGCTCCACTATCGGCAGAGAAAATGCTAGGACATGCTTATTCACGGGCAATTAGAGGTCACTCATTAGTTCAGTTGGCTCTGGCAAAAGTCATTCTACAAGAAGTAGATCTAGGTACCGCTGAGCGTGAAGCTATCAAAGATATTTTGCATAACTCCAATCATAACCCTCCAACGTTCTTATCAATTACAACAGACCCTGTTATCAATCATGTCCGAGAGAAAATCTCGTTACAGTTGCAGAGGGTAGAAGGCAGAGGTCCTACAGCGAAACTATGGATCCAATATTTCCACATGGTGACACTGGTGAAGCAGTTCATACAATGTGAGAGAGGAGGTGATTGGACAACCCATTTGCAGGTCATACAATATATGCTGCCATTTTTTCATGCAAGTGGCCACATCCTTTACGCTTAAGCATGCCATCTCTATCTTTAAGATATGCTACATTTGGAAAATCATATTGATATTGAAGATTACCGTAAATTTGATGATCGTGGATTTTTTACAATCAGACGAACCGACAAATTTTGGTCTGGAACTTGGTCAGAAATGGATATTGAGCAAACTTTGATGAGAAGCATAAAATCCACCGGTGGTCTAACATGTCAAGGCTTCACAAACAGTATACTTGGCGAATGAACTCTAGCAATGCCTGCTCTTCTGGACATCTGTGACAGGTTAGAACAATTTTGCGATGTATTTTTCATTAGTGGCGAACAGCATGCCGATTCAAGGGAGTCAAGAAAAGAACGAGATGACGAGGATGTGTAACGGTTGCAGCATTGGCTATCTTCTCATGATCCTTTTTCGAATTCAGATAAAATTCACTCAATAAGTACCGGAGTTGTTAGGAATAGTACTATAGATTGCTACAATGCTCTTGAGAACGATGTACACGGTTTTAAGGAAATAATAGGATACAATTTCGGAGACGTGAAGTTTAAACGTGCTGATGAGGTTGATCCTCTACCAACTCTCAACTCTGCTATCAAAATCAACGACGTGATAGTACCAGTTGATCCTTTGATGCTATTCCAAAGAATCATCATTGCTAAGAAAGATGATGAACAATTATCCGGTTATCTTGAATACGAACTGGCACCATACCCCCTTTCTTCACTCAACGAATCATGTATGCGAAAGACTAGAAAATCCGCACTTTATAATATTTTTGGAGAGTCGGATATTCACGCGAATATACAAGATGGCAGATATATAATATGCGATGAGTATCTCTTGCAGCGTGTCATTCGGCATCAAAATCAGACATATCAATCAATTTGCCAAACATACGTGAACCATGTGAAGGAATATTCTGGAACAGCAGCTACGATTGTATTCGATGGTTATACCAACAGCGCTTCAAGCACTGAAACAGCGGAACAATGCTTGCGGTCTGCGAAAAATACTAGCGTAGATATACTTTTCGATGGGTCAATGGCTGCCACTGTTTCACAAGAGGAATTTCTGGGCAATGGAAAGAATGAAACTAGATTGATTGCGATGTTATGAAAGAGATTCGAGGCTGAAGGATTCACTATCAGACATGCCAAAGATGATGCCGATACTCTAATCATCACAACAGCGATAGAAGTATCATCCGAAGAAAAAGCTGTGATTGTTGGTGAGGATATAGATTTGCTCATTCTACTCACTGCTTTAGCTCCACAGAAATATTCATTTTCTGAAACCAGGAAGGGGCAAAGTCGAACGCAAGATTTATTGTTCTCGTACTCTACAATTGCAAAAAGGACTTCGAGATGGCATTTAATTTGCACACGCATTCAGTGGCTGCGATAAAACATCGTGTCTATTTCAAAAGGGAAAAATGAAATGCTTTCAAATTCTGAGGCAACGAGAGGATTTGTATGATATTCCAAAAATATTCAACGATGACAACGCTTCGCATGATAGTATAACACGAGCTGGGGAACGATTTTTCTTGGCTATGTATGGTGCACCTGTGACTGATATCTCTATGAATAAGCATCGTTTCAATATTTTCGAAAGGTCAGCGTATGAAAACAAATTGAATTTGGCTTCGTTGCCTCCCACCGCTGCAGCAGCTCAACAACACTCTTTCCGTGTATATTACCAGATACAAAAATGGCGTGGTAATGAGAAAATTGCTGAACTTTGGGGATGGAAAAAGCACAATAACTGTCTGAAACCTGTGCAGACAATGAAGGCACCAGTCCCGGATTCATTGCTGAGGTTGATATCATGCAATTGTAAAAAAGGATGCACTTGCAGAACTGAACTGTGCAGCCATGTGTGGGTAATGCCATGGTACATGTATGAATTCAGATACTTCGTGTGATACTGAAAAGGAGATAGACCATGGAGATGTTAACTTTTTCGTGATTGATGTGGAGGAAAGAGATGATGATGATCATTGATCTGCAGTACCTCAGTAATCTGCTCAGGAGAATTATTTTTTTTTCCATATAAGTACTTGTTCGAGTATCAAAATTTTTGTATACACAATTGAATATTATATGAGTTTTCAATTTATTACTCCAAATTATATCTTTTTTCACAAATTCTATACAGAGTGTATATTTTTTAGGCAATGAATACAAATATCCAAATATTTAATAGTGTTTAACAGAAGAAATATGGAGAGTAGAAAAAAAGTGTCCGTTTCTTCTTTATGTAGAATTCAATAAGCTTAATTTTTTCTAATGACTTTCAAGACGATAGAATCAACAATAACTGAGATATGAGAGAAAAACTGGATCAGTGTACTTTTTTCCCAAGATGGAGGATCGAGCCGTGCTGGTATTGGTCCGGACTTTTGGCGTAATCAACAGTAGGCCAAGGTTGATGTTTCCACCAACTTATATCCTATTATCAATTATTTTTTCTATTTTTTCTAATATGACTGAATCAAACTGCTCCACATTTGAAGTGAGACAAGCGAACATTTCGTTTGTTTTCGAACCGTGATAACTTTGGATGAGATCAACCGATCTTTGATTAGTTTTGAGATTGTGATTGCCCAGTTGATTGGCTATAACATGTTTTTTTTACGTTTCTCCACCATTCCGGAATCATGACCTACAGGATGATATCTGAAAGTGTGATACTTTCCGAAAAGTTTGAGGTCGCCCCGTTAGCAGGATAATTTTTTTTAAATTTTTCTGACGGCAAGAACATGAAGCCTAATGTGTTTCCTCGAAATGGTTTCGGATTCATCAAGATCCATACAGGATGTTTTGAGATATGCAATTTTGAACAACATAATGGCTATTCGAATTTTTTGAATACCTTAAATTAATTGGTTAACCCCTCGGTATAATATGTTGTCTGGGAAATAATCAGAAATTGTCAAACATTTGATTATTGTGATGAAATATGCCACGACTAACTAATGAACGATTACAAATGGTTCTCAAAATGAGAGATGTTGGTTTGAATGTTGAAGACATTGGACAGTATTTCGATACATCAAGAGCTTCAATATACAGGGCAATCCGTCGTCACGATCGAACAGGAGATCCTGATTATCGTCACGGAGGTGGACGACAACGGGAGACTTCAGATAGAAATGATAATTTCTTAGTTACTTCGGTACGTCGTCTTCGAACACAGACTGCTGGACAACTGAACTGTGCACTAAGAAATGCAACAGGAGTTGTTGTCTCAGATGAGACAATCAGAAGAAGGCTTCATGAGGGCAATCTGAGAGCGAGAAGGAGGGCATCTTGTACTTTGTTAAAGCTGAACCACAGGATAGCTCGAAGACTTTGGGCTCAGAACCATTTGAACTAGGGAATAGCTGATTGGAGGAGATGTTTATTCGCTGATGAGAGTAGGAGTAATATGTTCAGATCAGATGGCAGGATTTTAGTATGGCGAGAACGGAGTGAGAGGTTTCTGGAGGAAAACATGGAGGCGCGGGTGGCATTTGGGGGTGGGGGTGTTACGATATGGGGCGGTATCATGATGAATCATCGCACCACGTTGGTTATTTTGAGGGAAAGTATGAATGCTGTTCGATATCGTGACATGTGTATAAGAGATGTTGTTATACCAGTTGCTCAAAACTTTGGGGATAATTTCGTACTGGTCGATGATAATGCACGACCACATCGTGCGAGAATTGTAACCGAAGTTCTGAGACAACATAATATTGAAAGAATGGAATGGCCACCCGTATCTCCAGACATGAACCCAATAGAACATGTATGGGCTAGGTTAAAATTATGTTTGAAGAGAAGAGAAGGTGAAATGATGAATATTCAACAACTGGAAGATGCGACAGTGGAAGAATGGACAGCTATTTCCCAAGATTTCATTGATGGCTTGATAACAAGTATGCCGAGAAGAGTTAGGGCTCTCGCAGCGGTCAGGGGTGGTGTAACAAAATATTGATACATCTGCCGTTGTTAATTTTTCTTTAATAAAAAAATATTGTGTTACGTATTATCTGTATTTTCTTCGTGGTATATATTCATCAATTCTCATTCTCTATATCCACTGAAAAAAACATCCTAGCTTTGACAATTTCATTCATAAAATAACCACACTCCACATTCACTTTATTCCTCCCTGCGAACTAACCCTGAAGGTTTGTCGTTCAATCACGAAATCACTTTTGCTAATCCATGATATTGCATATCTCAAAACATCCTGTATGGATCTTGATGAATCCGAAAATATTTCGAGGAAACACATTAGGGTTTATGTTCTTGCCGTCAGAAAAATTTTGAAAAAATTATCCTGCTAACGGGGCGACCTCAAACTTTTCGGAAATTATCATACTTTCAGATATCATCCTGTAGGTCATAATTCTGAAATGGTGGAGAAACGTGAAAAAAATATGTTTTAGCCAATCAAATCAATCTCAAAACTAATCAAAGATCGGTTGATCTCATCCAAAGTTATCACGGTTCGAAAACAAACAAAATGTTCGCTTGTCTCACTTCAAATGTGGAGCAGTTTATATGAAATTTTGACCGCCACTGAAAGTATTTCTGTTTCAATTTTGAACACTATTTTCTCTTTGCCAAATATGTGGAGGGAGTGTTGGAATAACTCACAAAAATTGAATTGAAAAAAATTAGGTTCATATCGACATTTGAATAGTTCCGTCTGTGAGACGTATGGTTAGTGACAACGTTAAATATTTGGAACGTTAGTAGGTGGGGGTTAACCTTCATATAGTATTCAGCTCTGCTTGAATTGTCAATATTCCGCACATTGTTGATTTTTCATAATATTCCTAAGGATATTCTCCTTCAATACTTTCACTATATTTTCTCATTTTGCTGTATGGGGAAAATCTACAGTATCTTTGTTACCTACCAACCTGCAATGAGAGGAACACTCATAATTTCTTTCTGCAATTCAAGTTCTATGATGTGTATATAATCTGTTCTATAATCAAGTTTTTGGGATCACACGTTAAA